TTTAATTAGATTAAGTTTATTATCTTGGAAAACATTTTTTTTTTTTTGGGGGGGGGGACAACATTGAACGCCACGGAAGGCTGATGGAGACTTTGTGTGGATGTTTTATAGCAGCGTCTTGGGGCGGCCTACCAACCAGGATAATGTTCTGTCGCCCACTGTGCAATACTAGAAATCCATTGTGAAACTCCAAATTGCAATACCCTCTGTCAACGTGTGAAGCCTTTGATGAGAATGTAAAGATGCACGACTGCAATTTGATGAGGAGAGTCAGATTGTGCAACCAGAAATAGTTTCGACACTTTTGTATATGTATATTATTAGTTTCTGTTCCAGCGACCATGTACGTCCAGTGTATCAAACTGCCCTGCGTCTTTCCAAGAAATGTGCACAAATATATCAATTGCAGTACAAATTGCAAGGACATCAAAGATGTTTCAAGAAGTTTTACAGGCAGGACATATAGACGCACAGGCTAAAGGCCACCTTAGTGGCCATTTTTGGAGTTGTATATAGGGAAAAGAAAGTGGATGTGAGAGGGGAATGGTAACGACAGATCCACTGACAACTCACACACATGTTCGGAAAATCAAATGGCAGCCGTCTTGTAAAGGCATCAATTTCCCAGAGATGCCGAGGAGGCACAGTGTTCTTTGGAATTAGCAGGTCTCCAAGGCCAAATACACAACCACAAATTCTTCTAAGGCTTAAAATCCGTCTATACGGTCACTGCCGGACACTGGATTATATTTCTTAGTTGTAAAGTCGATCTATGAGCAAATAATGTGTATAATGTTTATATTATGAAGGCTGTCATCATGGTAGGTCATCTTGGATATCTCTAGAATGATACAGCAGGTCAGAAACCACCACAGTAAAGCTTGGTCATGATCCGTCACCGGATGAACCTGGCATATGGCAAAAAAAATCGGAAAACACAGGCCGAACAAAAATACGTGTCCAAAATCTAGGCCATACTGCAGTTACACACATGTACATGCAGGTACAATACACTTCATGCCCAATTTCCGGACACCAATTCCTGCTATATTTTCGATTCTAACAAATTTTTTACGATGAAAAAAAAGGCCAGTGTTTTCATAGCATAAAACGCCTGAATTACAGTTAGAGTAATTGAGTCATCAACAGAAAAGTTCACTTCTTACTTGAGAAAGTCGAGGAAAAAGTCCAAAGGACAAGGGCACCGTTCATGCAGGGTGCTTCAATCATGTCCATGATTCAACCACACAACTCCATTACTCCACTTGCATTCGTACGTGGGGAAAAATCAGGCATTATCGTCTTTCTCTTCCAACAAATGCCAGTGAAATGTTTTGCTAATGCTCTCTTTGCTATCCTCGAGATAATCATCATGATTTTCAAAGCATTGCATTTTGTACAACTTAATCTGAAACCTCCGAAAATCGCACAACATAATGATTTTATCCACTGGATCGTTCACAAGGCTACCCGTTCCCGACTGGTCATGTGCTAGCAGACGGTACGGTGCGGTACGTACGCTGGTACCATTGCATATCTTCTTTGTACAGTACATATGCACGCACATGCGACACAATGATTTTGTCCATGTCCCCTGTCAATGTTTACTCTTTTGTCCAGCCGGAAAAGGCCCCGAACTGTGTTATGGCCTTTGTTTCCATCGTTGAAACACTCCAATAACGACTGGTGAAAGAGATTGAAACTACGTTCGCGATGATTTTAACGTGCCATTTCCATCGACTTTTCGTCGTCTTTTTTTCGAAATTATGATGGAAATAAAATAACATTTTGTGAAAAAAAATAGTCACAAATTTCAAATTTTGTGGGACACATTGTAAGAAAATCGGAAAAGTTTCATCTCTGCCGGACAACAATGGTTTGCTCGCACTGTGGCCCTTTGCTGTCAGCGGCCAGCTTAGCAGCCATTTTTGAAGCCATATTTAAAGGACTGAAATAGTATATATGAATTCACTGATAACTAAATCCGTGTGCGACTCGTGTGCCGTGGTACATGGGTTCGAATCCTGACCGTGGGAACATGGTGCTTGTTACCATTATTGTTTCGTCCTTCGGATGGGACGTAAAGCCATATGTCCCGTGTGTTGTGTAATGCACGTTAAAGAACCAAGTAACATTTATTGCTAAGAGAGGGGGTTTGCCCCGGTGTTCCTGGCACGGTGGCTGCAATATGCACCGCAGCACCTTGTAAACCCTTATAAAGTGCTAAATAATAGGTCAAATATTTTGTTACTTATTCTCATAAGCGTTATTTACCTTTCTTTAATACTAGACATAATTTCCAGCGCCTTGAGTACCTAATTGTTGGTAGATACGTGCGCTATATAATACTCCGGTATTATTATTATTATTAAACCCACACTTCTTTTGCACTACATCACTTGTCATATAATTGTACGAATTATGTGCGAGCACATATTATGTATACTAGTTATTATATGCATGTACGTGTACTTACACCCATCTTGGCGGCCACATTCTCCAAAGATAACGAGGTAGGATCATGCCGTTTTAGTTGAATTTGCAATTGCTTGTACTAATAAAATGTTTTCTGGTCTGCCGCCGGACAAGCATGCAGCTTACCCGGTACGTCTTATATAAGTGTACGGCCAGCGTATTTTTTTTAAGAGGGTTGGGGCAAGAGTAGCGAATGCATGGATTTGTAGCAAAGCAATCAATCTCCCAGCACAGGGGGTGCGACTGGTGTGGTTTTCCCGCAAATATTGTTTAGGTCACGCGCAGGAACCTCGCATGAAGCTCGCCATCACGCACTGGTTTGAAACCAGTCCGGTTGTTGGCGGTAGTTGCAAGCAGGCGAGGACAATTCACCACACGCCGATATTGGTACGGTGCGCTACCGACTGCCATCCCTTCACGTCCGGAGAAGTGAGAAGGGAAAACTGCCGCATACTCAGCCGAAACACCTCCAAGCTGGCCGATGCAAGGTGTCTATTAACCGTAAAGGGGCTGGGTTATTTTGACCATCTCTCAGCCGGGGGGGGGGGGATTCCGTCCCCCTCCCTAAGATCTCGGCCATCGAGTGACGAACAATTTTGAAACTCAGCACATGCATAGAGCAACTCTTCCTAAACATGCCCAAGAAATTTCATGACTATAGGTCAAAGGGTTTTGGAATTATCGCTAATTAATTATTCATATGTATGAATTGCAATTCTGCTTGGTGTACCCGACGTATATGCGAAAATTCAGTTTTCACGGCGCGTAGCGCCGGAAAATTTTTCGCTACGTGGCAACCCGTGGTCCGATTTTTATGTTTTTGGTATCAAAAGATGCGCAAAGCTCGAGGCTAAAAAGTCATAACAGCTCGGGTCGCGAAATTTTTTTTTAAGAGGCTATCGCGGAAAATGTTGAGGGGGATTCCGCCCCCCCGGCCCCTTTAGGGTTAAAGAAAGGGTTTCAAACTCTATAAATATCGAAACTACTGAATTATTCATGACATGGCCCCAACCGTCCTGGGAATAAAATGTTCGCATACGGCCATCTTGGCAGCCATATTGTAAGAAATATTAAAGGGATTGGTAAAACTGGATTGACTGACTACTTAAATCCACATCTTTGTGTAATGTTCCTTATCCAAAAATATTATTGGGCACTCATATATATTGTAATTGTATAGATATGCTAAAGGCCATACTGGCGGCCATCTTGGATATCTTATTGCCCCAGGGATGCCGAAGTGGCATTATCCAGATTCGCAGTCAGCAGGTCTCAAGGCCTAAAAACCATCAAGAAATATTGTTGTGAACGGTAAAACCGGGTTATCGGGTTAGCCGCTGGACTAGAACCAAAGTGCCGACAGAGGAGCATCTACCATGAAACTATTTGTAGAGCATGAGACTGAGGGGAGCAACTCATCTACGTACGGTATGATAAAAATGGAAGAGCTTGACTCCATCGTCAAATAGAGGTTGGCAACCGTTGGAAGGCAAGGACATCAACCACCGCACCAACCTGACACCCCCTGCACCAACCTGACTTGTCGAGGCAACCAACCCGCAGGCTCCCTCAGTGTAATACCTGTCCAAAGCCAGAGTTAAAAGACTGCATGAGTCTAGATCTGACTATAACAAGTCATTAAATACTCATTTAAAACTTTATGACAATTTTGTATTATTCGTTAGAAAATTTGATTAATGGTTATAAGGGAATGGAATCAATGATTAAGTTTACCTTTTAATAGGATTGTTTATTGTCGCTCGATGAGAGACAAATCCGTGATGCAGATAATAGGCGACTTCCCATTACTAATCGTCTCCTGAAATATTTCATTAAGAAACGTTTAATAAACAACAGACTGAATCTTCCCACATCAAATAAAAGCAGCTGATAACGGGTAGGGTACCACACGAAGCATCAGCTGCTCACAGTGAGCTTGAGAAACACCTGGGCATAGTTGCATTAGAGCGAATGTTGACGACTAAAGCTTTATCTTCGTCCAAGAAATTAGTATGAGGTGTTTCCTGATAAAAAGTGCTTGGACATACTATCAATAAAATCTTTTCCTTCCGGCATCTTCTCAGAAACGCTCTGACGGTTAACTGATCACACAGACTTTTGGCGGAACAAGGCCACTTGTTTCCGATTCACAATTTTATAGACATTTTGATGAAAAAAAGTACATGTTTAGGCCACATCAAGGCCACTTGTTTCCGATTCACAATTTTATAGACATTTTGATGAAAAAAAGTACATGTTTAGTACACGTATCATCATTGTATCCAAATCTTTGGTTTTCAAACGAGCTATCTAATCTGATTCCGATAGCCACTCGTGGTGAAACGACGCACATACGAGGGAGAAACAGTCAATGATCTTTGTTACTCTACAGTGAGCAACAGTAACTCTCCCCAGTTTCACAGACCTACAAAGGAATACTTCTGAAGAGACTGTTGAATCCATACTGATAAAACCAGTAAGAGTACGCACCAAAATGTAAATAAGCATCAACACAAATATGAACCATGAATGCAACTGATGAACTCAACGAGGAACCAACTGTCGAGAAGTGGGTGTGTCAGATCATGGCAGCGGAAGGAGTCATTGGTGTCCTAGGGAACCTTTTAGTGTGCTACGTCATCATACGCGTCAAATTCTTACACAACTTGACAAACTACCTGCTGGTGAATCTGGCTGTTGCCGATATGCTGGTGTGTCTGCAAGTATTCTTGTATTATCTAACATCAGACTGTCCGCTTATTGTTGTTGCCCCTGTGAGCAACAGCGTGAGAGACTTGTTCTGCCGACTTCTACAATCAAAGTACTTAGCATTTGCATTGACCAATGCCTCTGCCTACAATCTCTGCGTTGTCACAACAGAGAGGTATATTGCCATAGTACACCCTTTACACTATGCGAGAAAACTCACAACAGCACGGATTGCTACTTTGATTGCTCTGATTTGGGTGATATCATTTGTGTTATCTTTGCCTCTTCTATTCACAATGGAACCCAGCAATGACGCCAATAAGATTTGCTCAATCAAATATCCTCACCGCTTATTTGCAATTCTATTTAGCATATTTACATTTCTCTTCTCATATCTGCTACCCCTAACATTAATGAGTTTAGCCTATTATAAGATGCAGGTCACTCTCAAAAGACAAGCCAAAGCCCTGAACCTGCAACATGCAAGGGCAGCAGCATATGACCTTTTGATTGCTAGACAGAACCTGGTCAGCATGCTTAAAACTGTCTTGGGAGCTCTCATTGTCTTATGGACAGTGGATTATTTTGCTGTTCTTCTCTGCCTGCAGTCAACAGACAAGGCTCAGTTCTCGTTCTGTGGATCGATGATTTACCGGCATATTAGAATTTTTGCTAATTTACTGTTTAATTTCAATTCAGTCATCAATCCAATCATCTATGAGTTTAAATACAAGAAATTCAGGCGAGGCCTTAAGGTAGCTTTCTGCAGATGCTCCAAAAGGCAGGGCGGTAACGGAGTTGACGTTGAGATGGCACCATTATGACTTTTAATATATGGTTTATCTGGCTATATGGCAGTGTGGGGAGAATATATAACAAGTGTCATATCATGGTGCTTCTAGGCAAACGATTCCTTCAACCTCCGTCCATTTCACGGAGAGTTTCAGCAGTGAACAAAGCAAAAAAGCGTGTTAACCATAGATTGAGAAGTGATCCGCATGGGCACGTACGTACCTACATGATGAGATACATGCTTACCACCAGCACGGAATTCATGTTGCTAGAAATGAGTTCTTCCTTTTATATAGAGGGGAGCCTACTTTCATTGATAGCGGCTGGCTTCAAAGCTACCACAAAATAAAAAAAAAGTAATAAATAGCTGGCTGTTTTGATGTTGTCACGCGCATGTAATTCATAACTGTTTGCTATGGATGTTTTTTTGTTTTTTTCTCTCCAAAATCATTTGTACATTGTACGATTATTATGTTCATCAACCATCCATTTTCCGGGTGCTGTTATGTCATTTTTTAACCATTTTACCGACTTCAAATGTCCAACATTTTATTATTATTTTTTTCTTTCAATTCAATACTTAATATGAACAACGCTGTTGCTTTTTACTTTATTCATCAATTTCCGATTAATTGAAGCTTAATTTCAATCATTTCTTACAATTTATGAAATTGAAGGAAATAGTGCATCCGGGATGTTTGTGAGTTTGTATCTGCATTATAGGGGACGTTGAAAACTAGAGGACAATAATATGGTTCCCAATTCCCGAAGCTCACCAATTTGGCGATGTACATATGGTAGGTCTTCCTAAACAGTTATGAGTAAAAACAAAAGAGGGACTTTAGGGGATCCCTGTCATTTCAACAAAATGAAGAGAAACACAAAAAAATGGGTTGAAAGAGTTTTCTTAGTGTGAGTAAAATGAGTTTTTTTTTTCACAGGTTTTTATTAAATACACGAAAACAAAAGAATGTCCACACTAGGTATGTAACGTAAACATGTGTGTATTCGAAAAAAAAATAGTTTGGACTTAATTGACTTTGAGAGAGCTGCTTATGATAGCATGCATTGTACAGGGTGTCCCAATAATTGTCCATCTGGAGGGTGTACAGAATTACCGTAATATATGGGGAGGGGGTAATTCAATTATAGAATTGATGAACCCAATTTTTTTTTCTTTCTTGTGTGAAGTTTTTGTTGGATTCAGTTCAGTGGTTTGAAATAAAGGTAATTAATGTAACCTTAGTCAATTTTGCTCCTTTCAAAGTTTGACAATACAGTGTGTCCCACAACAAAAATGTCCCTCTTGGGGTTGAAGAAGAATTTGAAAAAAACAAAAAAACAACAACAACAACAAAATGTTATTTCTGTTTTCTTACAAAATCATTGTAAAGCATACTGATCGTATTATTTTCTGTAGAATTTCCATTGGATTTGGTTTACCGGTTTTCCAAATAAAGGCTGTTGTGTAACACAGTACTGTTAACATTTAGCTTAATTGGCTTTTTGATTAAAGCACTAAACTAAACAGGAAGAATACTATTGTTGACATTGCTCATTGTTAATTGTGACTATTTGTTTTGTACATATATCGTCTTTAAATGTAACAAAGGAGTGTCTCAAACAGATGTTATAACAATTCAAAGTGATTCAGGACATTCAGACGGGGGGGGGGCGGGCCTGAGAAAACAGAAAAACATTATACGCTCTAAATGTATGTGTTGTCAACCTTGGAATGGAGCAAAATATGACTGGTATTACATTATGGCCTTTGTTTCAAAACCGCTGAACAGATCCACCCTGTATATGTCACGGTAGTATTTATTGTGCGCCTCAAATTGTAATAATTGTTGGCTTAGGCGGCATTTTTCATTGTTTGTTTCCTTGTCTTCTTTGATTGGGAGGAAGATCAAGCCGCCCGACCCCCGGTTCTTTAATTTATTAACGGGGAATGCATCTTTAAATCTATGACTGCAATATTTATCTCGACATGAATGTTTGTAGATCTACACAATATAGATTCAGATGTAGCTTTTGAATATACGCATACATATGCCTTCTATACTAACTTACTTGGTTTCTTGGGAACATTGGAACATAAGTTATTTGACATCTCACACCTCAGAATAAATTTACTTCGTCAGTTGTCATGTTAGAAGTAGCAAAACACTAAAGTACGATTACAGTACGATGAGTAGTAACTGGAAGTACCTACCACCACTACCTTGAATTCAAGTCTTGTTTTTCAAAGAACTGTGGCCGACAAAATCATCGGGAGGTAACCCTTTAGTGCATGACGTCCACATATGAGGACGTTGTATTATCGTTAGAACCTACCCGCCCTATCTGAAAATAATTGCAATACTTGCATGATGTTTTATGTGCCTGTTGTCCTCGTTTGTGACCATCATAACTGTCCAAATTAGACAATTGAGGGCAGTAGATACAACTCATGAAAATGACAGCCTCTACCAGTTAAGTTTGTCAGTGAGTTCCCTTTGACTTTTTAGTTTGAAAGTCCTTTATTGGTATGTCATGTAGGCTTGCTGTTTATTTTAATATTATTTATAGATTCAGGAATACTAGGATACACTTTACTTAAAAATAATATGTTTTATTTAATATGTTTTATTTTATATATATTGCAAAACAAGTTATCCACATAATGTGGATGACAGCTGCAGGCGCGGATCCAGAGGGGGGGTTTTGGGGGTCAACCCCCAGCTCTGTCAAAAAAAAAATATCATACAAATTCCTAACAAATAAGTCGACCCCCCCCCCGTGACACCCCCAACAAATTATACTGGTATAATATCCGCCTGTTCAAAATATGGTACACCATTCTGTAGTCTAGTGTTTAATAATCGTCGAATTTGAACAGCGCCCCCTATTGAAACATGATTTTACGGAGGCCAAGTGTCTGGTGAAAAAAACCTGCGTACATTTTCAGATTTTGTTTGCTGATGAACCCCCCCCCCCCCCGCGACAATTCCTGGATCCAGGCATTCTGACATTGTATTCCTCGATGAGTGTAGGCTTAAATTGACCCTGTATTCATAGACTGTGACTGTGATTAAATGCATTAGAGTGTTGTTGGTACTTTTGTCGTGTCTTGACAACTCATTGTATAGTTTTAAGTACCGTAGCTTTGCAACTTTTAATGTATTTTACAGTATTGTGATCTTCGCTTTTTGTTCAAATCTCTATCTTTTGTGCACATGAATGTAGTGTATACGGAACATTTGAAAGCCTGACGTCATGTGTGTACATGTGGACACTTTGTAAATCCATAATTACAAACGCAAATTACCAAATTGTTGGAGGGACAAGGGTTGCAATTAGTAAGCCTACATTGACCCAAATAACTAGTTGTATTCAATGTAATAGCCAGTAAGTACTCTCAGGTACTAAAGAGTTTACTTTCTTCAAACAATACATCTGTTTTTCGTGGTAGGTATGATTAACTTTGGTATTGAATTATTGTCAAAAGTCAACATAGTGTAATAGTTGTGTATTCAAACTAGTTATGAGCTTGCGTGATTTTGCCAATGTGAACATTATCACCGCTATACTATACAGGATGAAAAAAAGAAAACGAAAAAGAAGTGCCCCCTATTTTTATTTTTTTTTAGAAGTTCTGCTTGTGGCGCTTTTCAGATCTAGGATATGAAAGAATATTAGTGAAAGAATAATTCAAATCGCTCATGTGCTTTTTCCAGTTGCGGAATTTTGATCAAAAACAACGTTTTTTTAACCTTATCCACAGATCACATTAAAGGTATGTGATATTTCAGCAAAACTATTCACATATCAAAAAAAAAAACACACCAGAACGCTCTCATGGCCATGATAACTGACACTTATCATAACATTTATTAAAAAAACCTGCTGCTTCCAATGTTCAAATAACATGCTTTATATTGTCAAGAGTCGATAGTCTTGCCCTGCCTTCTACTTGGCAACCATGGATACTTATGGGATCATACTGAATGCATTACAATGATACAACTGGTTTCATCTTAACTGAAATATCAGGTACCTTAAAATGTGATCCCTTGATATTGATAAAAACGTTTTTTGTGCTCAGAATTCCATAACTCGAAAAGTAACATCAATAGTATTAAACTCACCGAATCATCATGAAGACGGATGAGCCGATTACACGACCCTTCCGCCAAATACCACCAATTTGAGAAGGTAAGAATACACATCCGAGGTCCTCTTCAAGCTGATATATATATTGGAGAGAGCTGCAGTCCGTATGCTTCCCTAGTAGTCTTGGCCAGGAAGAAAGACAGCTTCCTACGCATGTCCGTAGACAAAACGAGACGCCTTTCCACTTCCACGCATCTTGGACTGCGACATGAGGCTTAATTCAAAATTAGTTTGTGAGATGTTTGGAAGGTCATAAATATATGCACAACACTTGGAGAAGTGTAAGACGTCACCGTGAATGTATCAACAGTTGTATGAACGCGTTATGCATATGTACAAATGCTCATTTATAGCACGCTAGCGGCGATCATCATCATCAATGCTTACGCATGGAATATCTCAGCCACGTGTACGTAATTACGTATTGCGCAGATCAAATTTGTAAAAAATGCGTGCAGCTTTTGTTTGCCAGCAAGAAATTCACCCCAAAAATAGGTGACCAGGGGTGGATCCATGAATGTTTGCAGCGGGGTGGGTGGTCAGAAAATCATTGCTGAAATGTAGACAGGTTTTATTGTCCGGACAGCGGCCGCCGTAAAATGTATTGGTGGGGAGGGGGGGGGGGGGGAATCGTACCATACTTTAATGGGGGGGGGGGGCGCCGTTCAAACCTGACGATGATTAACACTATATTACAGAATACAGAATAGTGTACAGATATACCCTAAACAAGCTGGATTTGCACAGGCTGACATTATTACCATTTTTTTTTGGGGGGGGGGGTCAAAGCAGGGGGGGGGGTAGGCATTGTTTTTAATGATTTTTTTTGGGCAGATCTGGGGGGTTGGATCCGCGCCGGGTGACTGAGATCAAAATG